AGTCTCACATATCAAATCTTGCATTCACTTTTTTAATTGTAATTTTCAAGCAAGTTTAAGCATAAATGTAGAAAAAATAAAAACCTGCAAGATGCTCTTTAAACTAAGCAAACTAATCAATATTCACGCAAATTAAAAAGTGCTTTGTGTAGCATATTAAACACATTTCCACATTCATTCGAAGCTATTACTAATGTTACCATGAACCAACATGGCTTCTAAATACTGCTCAAGGAACGATAAAGAATTCAACCATCGACTACATGTAGACCATCGTTTGCATTATATTTAAGGACAGGCATGAAGCAAGATTGAAACACAACTTTGCACAGGGATTATGGGAAATGTGTTTTCAATTATGAGAAATTGCCACCACTAACAGACCACTTCGCTTCAGAAATGTGATTTTGTCAATAAACATCTGCCTTTACGTATAAAACCTTCTGCATGAAAATGAACATCTACACTCACATGTTCACATCTTTCTGTCAACACCCTCTCAACTCCCTCTAATTTCATTTCCCCGCTGTGTCGTAATACTTGAGAATTCATCCATTACTTTATTTCTCCCTGTGCCACTTTCCAATGAAAGGTATTTATTTGCAACACCACTTCATTTCCTCCCTGCTCGGTTTCTTCCTTTGCAGGGAAATTGCTGATCATCCCTACATCACTGAGATCCCGGCCAACTCATTCCGTGGCATCACCAGCGACGTTCTGACAGTGTAAGATATCTGCAAGAGCATCCATATGCGTTAATGTAGACAATAACTGCTTAAATGTATGTTACTGTCATACACAAAAAAATCATATGGGAAAACGTGAACTTGATTTAAACTGTAGTTGTTCAATGTATTGTGAACATCCTAATCCCGTCCAAACCCTAAAATAGCCACTAGAATTTGTGTGGATTGGCAAGAATTACGCTTTTGAAAACATGTCCTCAGACTGAACTGACTTGAACCTCTCAAAGATAGCGCAAACAAGTACACCGACACTCAAAGACCACTGACAATCATACAAGTGGTTAGGTTTGGGAGCAAAGGAAGATGCATTGCAATTATAATCCACAAAACAGCATGTTATAGAAAATGTTGGATGAAAAATCACAAAACTGCGCAGAAAGATGAAACTTCAACATCGAAAGTGAAATAAGTAGCTCCTACAGTACTTATCTGTCACAGAAACAGATAAGGCATAAGCCCATGGGAAAGTATGCTAATTCAAACGATTGTTTGTTTGAAATATCTGTTTCGTTGTGTTGATGTTACTGTATGAACTTTTGTGTTTTGTTCCAGGGTGCTGTATGGAAACGGCTTGAGAGAAATCCATAACCATGCCTTCAATGGGACTAAACTGGATCAAGTGTAAGTATTTCACATTAACTCATTACTTATGGTTGCAAAAAAACAAAACAGTAACCATCCAAAAACCAATGGATGAACTCACAGTGACCATGTCGACTTCCTCTAAACAGCTTATGGTTGTAGATATGCAATAGGTTACTATTTCATCTGTTATTTGTAATTATATTATTGATTCATCTTGCTAATCTTTGATCATGTAAGGCTAAGAAAGCCAGTAGCTACTGGCTTTAGCTTAATATAAACCACACAAAGATTAAAGTGGTCTTGTCTTATCATCTCACCTTTTAGCAAACAAACAAATAGGCTTACGAGTATTTCCTATAATGTCATTTTGTACCTTTTCCAGCAGCTTCATACACAACCTAGTTAATACACACACTATCACACAGAGTAATATAAAACGTGTAAGTGGTGTAGCTACTTGTGTATTAGGTTCAAGGGTAATTTTCAGTTTGCTTTGTTTTTACTCTTGTGTTTTCATAAAAATGTAACTCTTTACTCCCATTTGTTTTTTCATCTGGTAAAATATTTTTCACTGGAACACCAAAATCAGCCAATTTAGCGGTCTTCAATTTCTCACAAAATTATGTTACTCAGTGTTTATGACCATTTCTGACATCTGGCATGTGTATTTCCTTTCCCACAATTGCACTACAAAAGCAGTGGGATCACAGTTGGGTCTCTACAAGCCTTCTCATATGTTCTCAAAAAGGACAGAAGCCCAGCTCTTGATTAGTCAACTGGAGTTTTCATAGGAAAATATGATTTGGTAGAAGTTGGTATCAGGAAGCAGTAACCTTCCCACATGCTCTCATAGACACTGGATGCTAGATCTGTGTCAAACCTGAAGAAATCAATGTCACACTTATATACTCAATAGCCTCAGTAGGATAAATGACAACAGTGGAGGTAAGCATTGCTTCCTTTTCCTCTTTTTTTGCAACATGTTTTCCTTTTTTCTGTCAACCGCTGGCCCAGAATCCTGCATATTTAGGATATGAGGTTTTAATGTTATTAATGTAAGACCCCTCTCTTCTTTTACAACATCTACACACATCTCAGGTCCCTTTTAAGAGGCTAATTAAGCCATTGGTCGTATACCAGAGAGTCTTCACACATGTGTATTTGTGTTGGAGCACGTTCTGCTCTGAGGGGAGAACTGATCCCAGCACTGCCTGACCAAGACAAATACACCCCTCACAGGTCTATTATCCTTATTAGATTTAAGGGATTTGGGGAGATGTGTAGTGTGGGTGCTCAGTGTGTTTAAGGAAAACGCCATCACATCTTATACTATCTAATTTGAATCAACAATGTGAGTGAGACCTTTTTCTGTCATGTTTCACTTCTGAAATGAGAGAAAATAAACAGAAATGTGCGGTGATGAGGGTTGGAAAAATATGCCATGCCTCACCTCTCACGGTCTGATTGAAATGTGAAGGATACCCTTTCTCCTAATAAACTTACATTTGTGCTTTCCTGTCCAGGGACCTTCGCAGGAATAAGTATCTTACCAAGATCGATGAAAGGGCTTTTGGGGGTACCATCAGCGGCCCCTTGCTTCTGTAAGTACCTGAAGGGATTTGGACATTTGAGCCGCTTGCAACTCTGTAATTAAACACAATCCTTACCTCACATACAGTACCTATACTTATTTAACGTAAGCATGTCTAAACTCAGTTACATACATTTTTGTGTAATTTTGTAAGATCTCTGTCGATTCATCTGGATGCTGATGACCTAAACTTTTCTTTTCATAAACAATGTACGCTAGAGGGGGTAGGACCAGAAACGTTTAAGCGTCTCCTTGCCCCTTTTGAACATGACGGAAACTATTTTCTTTTTTCATACCTTGAACGTTTTTTCTATTTTGCTTCTCTTTGTTATAATTATTATTATTGCTTGTTTTGTTTCTAACATGTTCAAAATTGACTAATAATCTAAGTGATACTTTTATCATGTACCTTTTTTAACATCGCCTCAACTATCATTTAAATGTATTCTTTTAAATGGATCTTGTAACATTGTTTTGGTCGCACACTTCTTGTAGTTGTGGTAACCTGTAGCCTACTATTTCAGAAGTTGATGTAACTTTCAAAGGAAGAAAAAGCATGAATTTATCTTGCAATTCAAGTTATCAACCTATTAGCAATTATTCCCCCCCCTCCCCCCAGTCCAATGCAATACAAAATATGTCTCCTCCAGCCTTACTTGGTCTGGTATGATGACCAATAGCTTAGGACACAAGGATAGCTAAAACTAAGATGGAAAATGCCTTTTTTACAGCTTTTATATCACATTCCTGTTAAAAAAAAGTGCTTCTGGTCCAGTGAGTCATTTTTCTGACCATTGGGTTTGACTTTAAAACAATGGGCACTCTCCTTTCATGGTAGGAGTGATTCATACCCTCTTAAAAACTATTTTATAGACTTCTGACTCTAATCAACAGCTGCTTGGGTAGCAAAAGGAATTTATAATTTCACTATTTAAGATGGATAAATGTTATTTTTGGCGCCATCTTGACTGTAAGGCACAATTAAGTGAGATCAACTCACCTTAGGAGGTACACATCGATTTTCTGATTTATTCTTGAGGCTATAGCGACTCCTGTTGCATGATCTCACTTTATAGGAATAGTTATGAGCATTTTGGGAAATACGGTTGCTTTTTCACTTTCTTGCAGAGAGTTAGATTATGATTGATATCAGGTTTTGTACGAACAAGATATGTTAAAACTAGTGAGCTTCAGAGATGTTGGATAGTGGATTTTGATACATTGGACGGAGCCAGACTATGATTCATCTTCTTAAATTTTGGCAAAAAGGGAAAGCAGTACTGCTTCAATTATTTATTTCAAATGTACATATAGCATACCATTTGAAAAGTGTATTTATCAGTCAACATGTTGGAAGTGTCCTTGGGCAAGAAACGTAACCCCAAATTGCTCCCGTAGTCATGACTACAGTATTGAAGTCGCTTTGAATAAAATGGTAAGCCGAATACCATGTAATAGTAAATAGGCCTAGTTTGGTAATTTCATTATTCACTCCATTTCAAGGTAGATTTGAACAATTTCCTCACGCATCATGTGCAGACTGGATGAGCCATGTCTGCGAAATGGATAGCATATCATCAAAGAGTATAAATCATTCCTCCACAGCTGTGTCTTTGACCAGGAAATCTGAAACGCATTGTGTGCAAGCGTGGGACAGAGTAACTTCCGACATTTCCCTGATACTGTCATCGTTTTTGCCATTCGCAAGGATTTTAAGGCTTAGTCTGCGTTTTATAAGGTGTTTGATTGTCAAAAGCCATTACCACGGCTATTCAGTTGCTGTTATGGCTCTGATCTTGTCGTTAAGTGTCTGCTAAGGTAAATGGGTTCGTGTGCAGGTCTTCATCCCCCGTTCCAATGGGGAACATGTCCTAAGTGAGGTCAGCTCCATGAGGTCATGAGCTAAACATCTGGGAATGACAAAATCAGACTGACACTCAGAGTCTGTGCTGCTTTTATTGAAGACTTTCACAATGTGCCCCATGAGAGGAAAAAGAGCTGAGGGCACAGAAGTGGGGAGAGCAAATGGGACCTAAAAAGAACAACGGGGCTCTTAGCAAATATGAAATGGTTTGGCTTTTGTTTATTTTATTTAATCGAATTAATCAGCAGATACAATGACTTAGAGATTTAATGGGTTAGGAAACTAAAGAAAGCAAAAGAGAACTTGGACTCTACTTGGCCTTTGGAAGGGGCGAATGTCCAGTGCTGAAAAGTGGAATGTCCCGATAATGGAATCACATGGGATGTCGATAAGATTGTCAATCCCCTGCATGTCTTTGGCCCGATGAGGTTGAGCTGGCCTTGGCATGATGGCCAACTACAAGAAAAACCACATATTAAAAGATAATGAAGGACTGAGCAGTTGAGTGTAGGAAACAGATGGAGGGTGTTGTTTAATCCATCTAGATCTCTGGTCTAATCATGTATGCCTCTAGGTTTTCTGATAGAACGTTTTTTCAAGAGATGGGTGGTAACTGCTGGTTTTTCTCTCAGTTAGTTAGATGAAAGAATAGCATTTAAACTTAGTTAAAGGTGGGATAGGTAATTCTGGAGAAACCAGCTAGAATATGAAAATACACAGCCGGAAAAAATCTGCCACTTCCTTACAGGGCCACTCCTCCAACACACACAAACGCGCACATGACCAATGAGGGCACGAGATAAGTTTGTGCACAGATGGAAGGCTGACAGGCAGGTAGGCCATCCAATTATTTTAGCTAAAATGGTTGTTCGTGCTTTTTACAGTACTACGGTTCCACAGATGACATTTTTTATGGATTTTTTTTGTCAACAGCACTTAAGATATTCATGCTATCGGGATGTAATAAGGCATTCCATGGAATTAATAACCAAAAGTTTATCTCGAGCCGGTTTCTCAAACTTACCTACCCCACCTTTAATAGCATCCATTAAGTGCATTCTCACATGTGAGGGATGTGCATAAAATGCCATGTTATCACTTGTATTGGGGATATAGCTTAACCCCATTTGTGACCTCAGGATTAATACAATTTAAGGGCAAAGTCCAAACGTTTTAAATGGTACAGGGTATCCAAGAAATGTCTGCGTGGAAAGTTTTACAGGAGCAAAAACCAGAATTAAAATCGAATATTTGCACATCCAACCACAGCAACACATTTAGAGAGGAAGAAGAGCAGAGCGGTGCTGTCTGTGGAAATGTTGAATTTTATAGTTCTGTTAGTTTTGACCCCCAAGATTTTAATCATTCCTAGCCCAAAAAGTACCCTTGAATAACTTAAAATAGGGCTTTGCCAAGAATGATCGCATGCATTGAAGTTAAGGTCTATAATAAGGCATCTAATTCTTTCATTCCCTTGCTGTCTCAAAGAGACGTGTCCCTAACTGGGATCACCTCCCTGCCAGCCATAGGTATGGATTCTCTCCGGAAGCTGTCGGCGCGCGATGCCTGGGCCCTCAAGAAACTGCCACCCATCGAAACCTTCAAGCACCTCACCGTCGCCAATCTCACCTACCCCAGCCACTGCTGCGGCTTCAAAAACTTCAAAAAGAAACGAGGGTGAGCTTTCGTCAATTATTCACTTTGTGTTCTTGAATGTACTTGTGAAAGTCAGAAAATTGGAGGCATCTCAAGAAGATTGTCCTTGAAAGACCAAGTGCATCCGATAGAATGTTTTTGTGTGTTTGGATGATCTACCACGGTGAGTAGGGCAGCTGCTCTTGTATGGTGTGGACTTTGGCAGGGATTGAATCAACTCTGACGTGTTTACCTATAACTTCAAACAGTGCTGGCATAATTAGTGTCACTCATTGCTGTTATTGTAGGAAGAAGGTTGAACCAGACTTTTCTTCAACTGGATATAATGTAATGAGTTCATTTGACACTTAGCGTGAGTGAGGGTTAAAGCCACCTCTGTATATGTCTGTCTAATACATACTAGAGTGTTACTTGATGGACTCAATCTGTTTGTGTTTTACAGCTTTTACGAGTACATTCTCTGTAACTTCACTGCTTTCTACGACCAACATCACAAGCGCTCTGTGGGGCCCCTCGGCATGCCTTCCCGCCAAGGGGATGGTGTTGTGGAAACAATCCCAGACCAGGAGCCAAGTGACGGAAGCCACAGAGACTCCCAGCAGGACTGGAGGAGAGGTGACTTCCATGGAAGCCTCCACTACCACGCCTACTTTGGGGGTCAGCCAGATGATGATGTGGGTTTTGGAGAGACCCTCAAGAACCCCCAGGAGGACACCAGCCAAGACTTCGAAGGTCCTTACGATTATGTGATGTGTGAGGAGGGAGTGGAGGTGAAATGTGTACCAGAGCCCGATGAGTTCAATCCTTGTGAGGACATAATGGGTTTTGGCTTCCTGCGAGTGTCCGTGTGGTTTGTGAGTCTGCTGGCTGTTCTGGGAAATGTGGTGGTGCTCTTGGTTCTGCTCACCAGTCACTACAAGCTCTCAGTCTCTCGCTTCCTCATGTGTCACTTGGCCTTTGCAGACCTGTGTATGGGGATTTATTTGCTTCTTATCGCCTCTGTAGACCTCCACACGCAAGCAGAGTACTTTAACCACGCCATAGACTGGCAGACGGGCCCTGGTTGTGGACTTGCAGGGTTTTTTACGGTCTTCGCCAGCGAGTTGTCTGTCTACACCTTGACGGTTATCACTCTGGAGAGGTGGTACGCTATCACCTTTGCTATGCGTTTGGATCGTAAGCTGCGTCTGCACCACGCCGCAGCCGTGATGCTAGGCGGCTGGATCTTCTGCCTCCTTCTGGCCCTGCTCCCATTGGTCGGGGTGAGCAGTTACCAGAAGGTCAGTATTTGTCTCCCAATGGACACTCAGTCCACAGTGTCTCAGATCTTCATCTTGTCAGTGCTGGTCCTCAACATCCTCGCCTTCCTTGTCATTTGCGCATGCTATTTTAAGATCTACTGCGCAGTCCATAACCCTCACTACCGGTCTGGATCCAAGGATACCAACATTGCCAAGCGCATGGCTGTCCTCATCTTTACTGACTTCTTATGTATGGCTCCTATCTCTTTTTACGCCATGTCAGCCGTTCTGGATCGACCGCTTATCACAGTCTCCAACTCTAAGATTTTATTGGTGCTCTTCTACCCGCTCAATTCCTGTGCAAACCCATTCCTTTATGCCATCTTCACTAAGGCCTTCAGAGGGGACATATTCATCCTCCTCAGTAAGGTGGGCCTTTGTCAGCAAAGGGCGCAGCTTTTCAGAGGCCAGACAGTGTCGTCAAAGGGCAGCAGCGGGACGTCTCAGGTCCGTAGGGAGAAGGATAAGGTTAGGAAAGGTGGAAGCGGAGGCCAGGAAGAGGCGCCCATCCACCTGAAGAAGAGCTCCGGACATACCTGCCAGCAGACGAGCCCTGAAGAGAGCCAGAGCCTGAAGACGTGAGACAAACACCAGCTGGAGCGAGTAAAGCAAGACAGGTTCAGGTGGGAGAGGAGAGGCCTTGAAGTGTTTGTGGACAGATCTGTTTGGATATTTAACAGAAATATCTACTTTTCTATCTGCTTCAGTTTTCAGGCCAAGTTCAGCTGTTTTGACCATTTCGGCTGTGATGATTTTATGGTTCCAGTTGTTGGAGAGTATCAAGTGTCACTGAAATGCGAGCCGGACTTCATCTCACTCAAAGTCCTTTGTATTTGGAGGGACGGGCTAGAGAAGGACAGCAAGTATTCTAAGGAAAGATAGTATAGATATTGTATTTGAATAGTAATAGATACATACTCAAACCTACATATATAACTATGAATTGAATCTGTTTTTTCAGTATCTTTAATTTAGTTTAATTTCAATGATCTCTGCACAGTCTAGCATTGATATACAAGGGAATAAAACAGATTTTTTGGAACACTTCATTATCCTGCGATATGATGACCTTTTAGAGGCGCCCTTCTCAGTCTTTGTTATTTTCTTCAAGGACAGCCTGCTGGCTCAGTGCTGTTCCACAGTGGAAACTTTATCCTGAAAATGTAAAAACACAGTCTCTCTTATTGTATTATCCGTAATAATATGAGGTAATTAGACAATAGTGCTTGGGGATTTATGAATGAAAACGGGAACGGTGGTATTTCATCTGTAAACTGAAAAATACATTCACACAAGTATGGTTATGGTACCTGACTGTGATGTGGAAAAGCATGAAATAAGTGTGTGTTTTTATAGTCCAAGTAGACTCTGAAATTATACTTTTTTGTTGCCTATACCTGCACCAATTGTATGTATCACTTTCTTGAATCCATAAAATATTTGTGTACTTGTTGTAACTGTTACTGTTTGTTAATGTAACCAAATATTTTCACATTTTCGCATTTATCCAGCAAAACAGTTTGCATAAAGAGGAAAGGTATGCCCTTAACCCAACCACAAGTGTTACATCCAATTACAAAAGCAAGCACAATACATATTTGGATTATTAGCAATTTTCTACAAATTACAGACAGGTATGATAATCAACAATGTATACTGTTAACGCCTGCCTTTCCATTGGAATGTCATGGTTGTTTTTCTAGCATGATCGTGATATTTTTCCCTCCTCTTACGGAAACAAGTGACTTATACAATCAGCAGAGATAGCTTTGCCTTCGCCGGGAGAGCCTAAAGCAAGTACAGCTGAGACACGTGTGAGCTGGGGCGCTGTAACTTGTGCGATATTGAGCCATTATGAGTTAAAGGACACCCTTTGCCAATGGCAGCTTAACATCTGGTTAGCATTTCATCTGCTATGTGACATTTTTTTCAAGGAGATATACAGATAAAAAGGGGGGACTTTCCAAGAAAGAGGGATCATTTCAGTCCTTTATTATTTTGCTTGCAAAGTTGTTGGGTCAAAGATATTTGACCCGGCTGAATGGTTGGTTTCAGTACTGAAAAATATATAGTACAATGTTTACAACTCTTTACTGCCGTCTTGAAGCATTAGTGAGGCTAAACCTTAAAAAGAAGAGTGGCATCTCCTCCCTTTGTTCTAGACTTCCTAACAGGCTAAAAGGACATAATTTTCATCTAAATGTTTTCCACAGCTTTGTGTCAATCTCCTCCAATCACCCATTAACAACAATCCACCCTTCAAATGCTAAGCACACAGAGCCGGAGCACGATGTGCCTGGCTGCATTTGTAAGGGGCCTCCTCATTCCACTGCCATCTAATGTTAACCCACATTTCATAGTTCTTTCACGAGTGTGCGCATGTCAAGTTTGATAACAATCAAACCACTGCACATCTGTGTGGGTGACAGGGTGAACACGAAAAGACTGGGGGTGGCGACACACCTGTCCTTTGAAACTACACCTCCACTTAGGATTCATGAAGTGTTTTTTCAAAGCCATCTGGATTATTACAGAAAATATCTGACAAAACTGACCGCACAAACCGATCGAGACTTGGACTGTATTTATTTTTGACATTCTTCATGTAGCTGGTTCTCAGGCCTGCCTGATTATTCCTCTCCCGGTATTTCAAATAAACCAATCGCCCAGTGTTTCCTCAAATAAGCAGGGAACGAGCCGGCGATGCACCTCGCTCACACCAGATCATGTTGCTCAAATCAAATACAGTGGGAAAAAATCATGAGAAGCACTGAACAGAGACACTGAGGTTTCTATCAGGAGGTTCAGAGAAGCACTCAGAGGTCAGAGTCTTTAAGTAACCATCCGGCACTTATTGCTGGGAACACAAAATCCCTGCATTTATGACGTTATATCTTGGGTTGTTCAATGGGCCAGAAAGCATGGCCTCACGGTCCTCTTGAAGAGTAAAGTTTCTTTCTTTTACAGAAAGCTCTTTAAAATTACTAGAGCGAACCACAGAGTGGAAGTCAGTGAAAACATTTGTCTCTGTGTTGTTCCAAGAGTGGTCAAACCATAACATTTAAGACAGACTTTATATTTTCACTGAACATTTCACTTTAACACAAGCCTACATTTGATCTGTGAACAATCTTTGTTTTATCTATTTGTGCAGATGCATGAGTCATCACAAACTCATTTGCATGGTGGAGTGCTTTGCACGCAACCAAAATGACCAAATAAAAACGCTATATTGTTGATTACATTTGTACAGGAAGAACACCTGGCTAAAGGCCCTCGTAAAAAATAACGTATTTCAATAACAAAAGCTATGTTGCAATTTGTTGGGCTAATTACACTCACGGATCATCTCAAAGGACTGTTCTTGCTTCATCACATTCTCCTATACTTAGTACCAAAAGATGAAAGGGCCTTTTGTAACCAAGGTCCAATAACTATGCAGATTTGTATCCTTTACAACACATTATTTGAACATTTCACAGCTGTCCAAACCTCATCTTTGTATCCACAGATGTGTTGACTCAAATCACATGACTCCAAATCATTGACTCTTTGAATCTGACAACTTTAAGTAATTGGTATGGTGTGCCGTCCGATCATGGTAAGAGCCAAACGTGTATAGCTAACCACACTCGAAAGACATTCAAGATGTGATTACATTTTCATCTTTCCACTAAGCCATTTGAAGTGTTGCAATTATTTGTACACACAAGAAGTGATAGAGGTTATTGAATAAACAAGATTTATAGAAAACAGTACTCACTCAAGGCACCTGCTCAGTGATCCGTGAAGTGGAAATGCTTGTCCGATGTTCGAACGCTTTTGGGAGTATTCAGGCATTGTTTCATCATCTAACAACCACTTCAGTTACAGTAAATGCTATCTTTACTATCGATTGACAAAAACACAAAATACATTTATCAGAAGATAACTTCACCTTGAGTTCTTGCATCTTTTTCTTTGATGAATACATATTTTCCCCAGGCCCAAAGATTGTAATGTACCTCTTAAGACGTTGAGCAATTCAGTGATCAGTAGCCAATTGGTCTTTTTCACAACAGCCATTTTGAGACCTCGTAGTAGGAGAAGCACAGGTGTTACTAATAACATTGACGATGGCTCTGTTCCATTCGTGTCCCTTAAGTCATGACAGTGTGACAGTGAGCCAGCACGCACTATCCCAGGACCATGAAACTGAAAAACCAGGAAAGGAGGTATGTCCATTAGAAACGGATAAAGGCTCTTTGTCCCAAAAAGCTTCAGACTACAGTAAACTCAACATGCCACAGCCAATAGACCTGGCTACTATTCCACTGAAGCGTACAAACTCCATTTTGCCATGCTTCTGATTGGCAGTCACTGTCAGTTAGGTGGTAAGCAGAGAAAGCTATAGAGTCTTAGACATCTCCTGGGTCTCATTATAAGCCTCATTCGCCAGCAGCACAGGCTCTTACATCTGAGTGCCCAGGAGAAGCAAGAGGGCCCACTTTGTCATTAACAGCCAGGGATACATTCTTCCTCCACAAGGTTTGTTCAGGACTGAATAAGTCTTTGTGAAGCTTGATATATTGTAGATGTGACGGCTTGCCACAAATCCATTTACAATCAAGGCCAGAAATCTCCATGTAGTTTCTGATTCCGCTCTAATCCCAGACAGCACCGCACCTTTATCTCATAATTATCCAAAAGGAAATACACAGGGATTGTATCAGTTTGGTTAGGATTTAGAGGAAAGGCAAGGAGAACGCCCATGCTGTGCATATCCTGAAAGGCATCCAGACACTGGATTACAGGTAATTTAAGACAAATTGAGGCATATTTAGGCCCACTTTTCTATGTAGCATCAGATGTAGTGATTTCAAACCAGAATTCCTGTTCACCTAAACCGGGGGCTTTTTTCAGATTATGTTGACAGATAAGAGAAACTCAACTACTAAAATAAATATAGAAGTATTATTACTAAGATTGGATTCAAAAATATATAGACAATTGAATGCAGCTATAACACTTGCATTATGTGAACAAACTGTTGAAATTGTAAACTAAAAGCAAAGTGGTTAAAAGTAGTTTGGTAACTTTAACTTTATGGATTATGTTTTACAATAATAAAGTACAGTGCTAGTGGATAAAGTACAAGTGCTATCTAAATTGATTGATCAAATACAATAGCTAAAAGTAATGGATAAATTGTTACTACGGTTAACTAAAAGTAATGGATAATCTCTAACAAAAGTTAGCTAAAAGTAATGAAAAAATGTTCAATAGTTAGCCGTGAGTTTTTACAAAATTAAGCTAAAAGTACTAGCTAAATTGCTTCAATGGTTAGCTCAAAGTCTTAGATAAATGGTTACAATATTAAGCTAAAAGTACTAGCTCGATTGCTAGCTAAAAGTAATGAAGTGTTAAATAGTTAAGATTAAGTTAATGGATAAGGTGTTCAATAGTTAGCTAAAAGTAAACAGTGAGTTGTTGCAAAAGTAAGCTAAAAGTACTAGCAAAATTGCATCAATGGTTAGCTCATAGTATAAGTTAAATGGTTACAATATTAAGCTAAAATTACTAGCTCAATTGCTACAATAGTTAGCTAATATTAGATAAATGGTCCAACAGATCAAGGTCCAGCCCCTGC